CACACACACACACACACACACACACACACACACACACACACACACACACACACACACACACACACACACACACACACACACACACACACACACACACACACACACACACACACACACACACACACACACACACACACACACACACACACACACGTGTATGTACGTGCATGTGTATACAACAGCAGCAGCAACCCGGAGTGCGCGCCATGAAACTTGCGGTTTTGACCGAGAAGCTATCATTACGCTTATGACGGTAATGACGATGTTTGTTTACTCGCGCTTCGCTCCGCGTATATAGACGTGTATTAAATACGTAATGTACGGTACTGACTTTTCGATGGTCGGCCTCGCTTATTTCTTTTTCCCTACCCCAGTAAACATAGTAAACATAGAGGAAATCGTTCGCGCGGTGCAGTTTATGTGCGAAAATATTTTTATTGAATTATAAAAACTACCTCTAGATAATATGGGCGCGCGCGTGCAAATGGACCGCAGTCAAGGATATCGTGGGCGCGCGACACATATCGCACTTACTGCTCCTTGGACGTGTAGTACGGACGCACGCACGCGAAGGCGATGATCATTGCTGCTTCGTCGCGCGTGTAGTGCACGCGCGAATTAGCGTAGGAGGGCCTTATTATATAGATTGTATACGATTGGTACGCTGCAGCACACAATACGAATGGAATTGCTTATTTGCACGCGCGAGTATAAATATAGCTTTTGATTGTAAATTCAACATCCAAAACTGATCGCACAATAGCTCGTTGATAAGTCCTACGTCTCGCATAACAGTCGTCGTTGTCGATCTTACATATAAAACACTCCGATGCGACATGATTTTCTTTTTCATTTCAATGCGATTCCACGCGCGCGCGCGCACTTCATATCACAATTATTTCAACAATCTTGGCTATTTTTCTCAAAGAGAATACAAAACACGTACCTACGTATGAATAAAAATCGATAAGTTTTCAAGCTCCTTGACTTTGCATTGTATCTGCTACTGCGTCGGAAGAATTAGCATAGCACGCGCGCTCGCTCTCGAGAGCAGCTATGAATAAATGCAGCCTTGTCTGTATGGTATATATACAGCGAGGCACGATAATGGTAATTCTCGTATAAAATCAGGAAGCAAATTAAATCGATGCGATATTAGAGCGAGCCCACTCGCGCGCGCGCGCGCCACTGAATGTATATAATCTAGCTTCCTCAATCATCTACATGACTCGCTCGCAGAAATGATGTGTATTCCTTGCTGCTGCCGCCGCTCAGCCAGCCAGCCAGGCACAGAGATCGTTTCAACGCTCTGCCCTCTTTCCTCTCTCTCTCTGCTCATCGCGCGCGCGCGAGCACTCCTGTGAGAAAACGGTGTAATTTTTTCTTTCTTTCGTTACCTTTTTTTTCTTTCTTTTTTTTTTACTGCTAACATACAGAGCTCTGCTCGCGAAGATCGCCCAGGCACTTGTGAAACGTTCGCTAGCTCTCTCGAGCTTCATACTGTGTGTGTATATATTTTTATTACACTTGGCCGCGCGGAGCAAAGAATGCAGCTCTAAGTGCGGCCTTGTCGTAACTTCTCTGTCTCTCTCTCTTTTTTTGCTTTCGTCTTTCTTTTTGTTATACGAGAGATCACTCGAAGTCGCGTCATTGCGATCGCGCGTTCGGACGAAAAATATCGGCAAAGGCCCGCGCGCGCTGGGCATTACTACTTTTACGAATATAATATGCTGGGGCTACTCTGCGGCACATAACCGGGATTATCTCGCTGGAACGCAAATTCAACTCGAACGAGTTACATACATATCGTGTGTTATACATGTATACACCAAAATATGAGCAAACTTGTATAGTCGTCGAGTTCTCTCTCTATCTCTCTCCGTCGACTCTTTAACTTGCTGGTTATCTCTCTCTCTCTCTCTCTCTCTCTCTCTCTCTCTCTCTCTCTCTCTCTTTCTCTCTGCCTCTACGCCGTCAGAGCAAAGTTTGTGAAGTGTAACGAATCATCGTGCGCACACAGAGTCGGCTACATGCAATATATATGCACGCAGCTGACCGTATATACCCGAGAGGCAGTAGTAGTACATGCAGCCATGGTACATACTACATGTACAGCAACAGAAGCAAACGCGCGATTACAAAGGACACAGGACTGCCGGACCTATAGTTAGCGCGTCAGCCAGTCGTCGTCCCTTTCTCGTCAAATACTCGGCTTCTGCTACTGTATGCACTACTGCTTCTGCTGCTACTGTTAATTCAGGTCAAATCGGTATAATTTTCGACGGATATTTTATCGCGCTCGCCTATAACATATACGTATGTGGGCATGTGTGTATGCAGCCAAGCGTCGAGTTTGTGTAATATTGATTTTTATTCAGAAGAGAAGTCCGACGAGGACAGTAGCAGCAGCAGCAGCAGCAGAGAAGAGCCAGTAAACGAGAGAGAGTCGAGTCTTACATGTTTGTTGGAAAATGATGGAGGTATACGAGAAAGAGCGAGGAGGAATTGGGTTAATTCAGGGTTGGCTATATGTACCACTGGATATACATATATGTGCGCTCGTTTACTCCGAGAGCGGAGTGGATGCGATGACGTCGGTAGCAGCGGCGGCGGCGGCGGCGACGGTGGAGACTGCTACTGCTGCTGCACTGACTATACGAACCGTTCGATTTCGAGAGTTTCGATATTGCACTGCATGTATGTGTGCTTTGGTGGACTACGTATACGGCGAAATCGAGGATAAGTTAATCACACATTTTCGCGCGACAATCTCCTATGCTCACTTACACATATATATGCATAAGGTTTTAGGTGTATAGATCTCTGGATGAGATGATCGATTCGAAATTTTTCGTGCATTATATCGATACTGCACGCGGATGTGAAAGGCGAAGAATTTTCAATAATCGACGCCCATTCATTATTCAACGAAACATTGATTAGCAACTTCGCTAGTTTTATTAGTTCATTATTCATCGCGTCGATATATTTGCTCCGAACGTTTCTAAGCGCGATTGTGTTTTTTTTTCTTGTTTTGTTCAACGATCGATGCGTGCGATAAGAAATTACGTGTATGACGTCGGAGCAAAAATGCGCGCATACGCGACGCTGTCTGTATGCATGCGAGCTGCGCCAGTGACAATAAAAAGACAAAGTCACTTATCGCTAGTAGTCGCTGCTGTATCCAAGCGGCCGTATAACCGACTACGACGCCTTGGCAGAGATTATACGTCAAACTGCACTGCACTGCACTACTGCTCTTCGTGCGGCTGCATATATTTATAAGTATAACTGCGCGAGAGAAATTAAATCAACTTTAAGAATCTGACGCCCACAAATCATCTGCACGTCATTTCGCGATCGATCTTCTCTCTGTAGACGTCGTTGCGAATACGAGATGAAAAAAAAAGACAGAAGAACCACAGGTGTCTCTCGTATAGATATATACACGAGTGCAGTCGTCGATTTACAGTTCTTTGATAGGATGCGCCTCGATCAGCGTACCTGTGTATCTCTCTCTATCTTTTGGCGCGTTGATTAGCTGCTTTTTTGTTCCATATCCTTAGGGTTTTAGTCGAAGAGCGGTCGAGCATAAACCGAGCGTTACTCGCCGCGCGATCACTCCCAGCCAGCCACCACGTCTATTTACCTTTTCCTTTGATCTGGTGTAATATGATTTTATGTTTGCGCGCAGTTCTGATTGCCGTGCGCTGACGCGTAATTCAAAATCTAGCTAAATATGTATATCGCCTTAGTGTGTAGTAGCTCCGGTAGTCTCCGCGGTTGATGTTGCGAAATGTAGTTTACCCTCGGGCTTGTTATCGTCCCTTTACTTCTTTACGTACACGATGATGATCTAGTACAGTCTCGTGCACGTGTTTTCCAGTAAATGCACAAACACACCAAATGACGCTGCAAGGAAAATTGTCTATTTATTTTTTTTTATTGTTCTAGCTGTATAAACTGCACTTACGACAGCTTTTAAAACACAGCGAAGGTATTTACTGATATACGTTCGTAGAAACGCGCGAGAAGCAGAAATCGTTCATTCTCGACATTTTTCATCAAACCAGAGCTTAGAGAATTAAAGCAAAAAAAAGGGGAGAAAGCAACTAACACCGCGACATGTCTACCTATTTATCATAATTACAAGGATTCGTTTTAAGTGGAGAATCCACGAGACGATACATATCGCGAAAGTAAAACTGGCTCCTCTCTCGTGGTTAGGTGAAAGAGACCTTTATGCGTGTGCGTATTTTATATGCGTACACATTTCCTACTACATAGCCGTCGCAATGCAATCCAATGCGTCGCGCGCGGGTCGAAGCCGCCGCAATTAATTCACAAGATATAAAACAGCTTCTATTTCTTCTTCCTCTTTTAATTGTCACGGTCATGTGCAGTGGAAGGCTCGCAAACGCATCGACTTTCGCGCAGCTGCACACTCGGCATTAGAGCTCTTCGCCTGCATCAATGATTAGAGAGGACAGGTTTATTGACTTTTCTCCGAGTTTCGCGCGCGCCTCGGCGATCTATGTATGTATGTATGTATGTATGTATGTGTGCACGTACTTTACTTGGTGCAGGTGCAGCGATGAATGAATATCGTCATCGACGTATATATATATACCTGGAAGTGAATAAATGATAGTGACTCGACACATCTGAAAACTCGCTCCAAGTTCTTTTTTCCCGTCTAGACGCTCTGGAGAAGTAGTGGAAAAAAAGTTATGTAATGAGACCTGCTAATGCAGTGCACGCTGTAAAAAAATAATCGCAATTCGAAAGTACTTTAACAGTTAACTTGTACCCAATTATTCAAGCGCGAATAACTTGAATATCTTTGACAGTATTTTAAAATTAAAATTATGAAATTACGTCTGAAAAGAATTGATTTTTATGCAAATAATGGAGCATTGCTAATATTTCTCATGCGCGTCTATGAAAATGAGTCGTGTGTGCATGGTTGTATTATTATAACCATGAATAATAAAGTCATATTTATTACATAAATTTTGGCAATTTATTTATTTTTTGTATGAAACGATTATCACAAATAAGTGTTACAAAGAATTAATTTCAAAAAATACAAATTTATACTTAACTTCCTGAGTACAAAAATTTATCCTAACAATTAGAGTTCTAATGCGTTCTAATAATTTCTAGTACGATATTTACACATCTCTATTTACATAAATTGGTCTAATTGAAGGACATGAGTAGAAGCGTTGCTCCATATCGGTACTCAATTCCTTGGTGTCCAACTGAAAGAAAAAAGAACGTTCAATCTTAACAGGTCACAAAAATAAAATTAATATTGATAATCGTTTTTATACGTACTGCGTGTAAGTGAATCGATTCCATAATACCACTGTTCGGGTCGACCAAGTGTGACAGTCAGTGGTATCTGAGGAAACGTTTGTTTCACCAATTTTACGATCTCAGTCTCTCTCTCCTTGTCTTCAAGCGACGCGCCACACATCCAAGCTAACGTATTTTTTCTCAATGTCACCCCAGTTCGGAAAATTTCTAATTTTTCAATAATTTCGTCTATTCTTTTGTGAAAATTCAACACGACTGAATCTGATTGAAGACAGTCTCCTGATAGGCGATAAACAATGAGACCTTCCATACGCTTATCGGCTTGAAGATGTAATGGAATGTTTCTTGCTACAGTTTTCATAGCATCGAGGTTGGCGCATCCGAGAATGGTGTATCGATGATCAGGTTTCATACTAGAATACATTCAGATATTTTCAATTTAACAAATTAAAATTATTTAAATGCGATTGTAAATTATAAAATTTCGTCTTACGTACTTTTTTTTAAAGTGAGTTAAAAAGAAAGAGCATAAGGGATGGTAGCAGTGTCCAAACATAAAGAAGGTAAATGGTCCAGTCTCATCATCCTTCGGATGAACTTTGTTGTAAATCATCTCTGCGTTTCTTTCGCCATTTTCGTCGTAAGATGGGCAAGTGCCAACGACTACTTTCAAATCTTTGTAATCCGGAAATGAAAGGCCACTTATCCCATTTGCTTTGTCTTCGTGATCGAAACCAATTCTCTTTGGACAGCTGAGAATTTCTTCTTCGTCCATAAATACAGTATTCATGCCCAGAATTGTTACTCTACCTACAAAGTGATGGCTAAAGACGTTCATCGCTGGAATAGAAATTAATTTATCTCAGAGTCTTGGAATGTATTTACAATAAAAAAATGTCATTAAAATATTTACCCTCTAATTCGGCATTTGGTTTAGGTCTTAATTTGGGTTCCGGCCCGTAAAATAATATTGTGTTTTGTGGCTTGTGATACATGTAGTCTTTTAAATTGAAACGTGGAAGCATGTACATGCATTCATACGTATCTGGTAACTTAATTCTTTCTGGACCTCTAGTGCGAAGAACTTCCCTGGATGCTCTGTACCAATTTCTAAAAACGAATTTTATCGTAAAAAAAAATTCTAGGATAATTTTTATTTATGACCTTACTTGCACACTAAAGCTGCTTTGCTTAATTCAGATACTGTAAAGTTTTCCATCACAATATGCATTACATCATATAGAACATCTCCTTTGGTATATTTTCCTTGTATCAGTTCCTCTTCTTCCGTTACTGTTTCGATCACGTCCATGATTTCTTCTGTGTTTTTCCTTTTTCTCGATTGGGTTCTAGCAAAATTAAAACCGATGAAAAGGATTATTTTTTTGTGTGTAAAAAGTAACATTTTATAAAGATGTTAGTAAAAAATATTCAGGTAAATCCGCTGCAATTCGTTTTTTAAATACAAATGAAACAATGTCTAGGGATGTTGAAAAAATTTAAAAAATTTTAGAAATTTCATAAAACGAAATATCATACATTTAGTTGAATATTTTGTAAAGTTATGAATTCAATGTTCATTCATATTGAACATTTTTCGAATGATCTCAAACATAATTTTCGAGATTGTTAGATTAATACTAAAACCAAGCGACCTCTTTTATTCTCTCCAAAAATCTCAAAAAATGTAAAAATCTTATGTATATTTAAATCTTTTAAAAATAAAGTAAGACCTTATCTCGAAGCTGTGCATATACGGTTGTGCTACGTTTTATTATTATAACATATTATATTTATACGCGTACAATTCATTTCGAACGTGCAAATAAACTTTTCAAGCTACTGAACGGAAGCGGAAGTTCGAAGCGAGTTATCGAACAAAGACAGAAAATAATACGCACCAAAAGCCTGTGCATTTGTTATTTTCTTACCTTTGAGAGGCGATAATATCATTTCAGCTTTTGTGTTGCCCAAGCTTTTATGAAGAGTTAGTGCGCTTTATTTATAAAAAAGGGGCAAATTACACATTGTAACATCAATTTTATAATTAAAATATATATAAGAGTATTAAGATGAACTTGAAGAGTTTTAAAATATTAGTCGAAGATGAGACTTGTTACTCACTCGTTCATTCAATCCTTATCGAAATGCAACCTTGAATAGTCTGCGCTTAGAGTGAAATTCATTTTAAAAATGATCTAAATCAATACGCGTCATGGAAAATTATCTCGAAACTATTACGAGATCTAAAACATTATATTATAAATGTATCTTATGCATACAAAGCGTTTTAATCTACATATGCCTACATCTACGTAAAAATACCATGTACACACGTTATAATGTTTATTCGCGTTGGTAAAATCGTTAATAAAAATTATCTCCTGATCCCAGAAAAAATTAAACAGCATGAAATCATTACGCTATTGCGAAAAGAGAAAAATATAGAAACAACGGTTATGTTTCAGTTTCCCAAGATGTTACTTACGCGGACCATGTGGTTTGTAATCGGCGAACTGCGATCACTCAATAAATTCGGTTAACTATTCGCAATACCACCTACGTATCGAAACGATTCGAAAGTAAGGTGGATTCTTCAACAATCTAAAATGGACGCCAGATGTGAGTCGTGAATGAGAACGAGCCGTTTAGGCAACCGTAGAAATCGAATTTCGAGCGTGACACGTGTTTGTGAATGAAAATATACTTTTTTTGTGTAAAAAGTATGTGCATTGGATGTTTTAACCTCACGCAGTTACAACAAACGTCTGCAATTTTCATGTTGAATATTAAATTGACAGATCAATGTTTTGTTATAATGTTATAATTTAGCTATACGAACGTTTAGTTATGAACATAATATTCAAAATGACCACTTACCTCTGTTCTACAGCCATGGCAATATATTGATGATAGGAATTCAATTTCAGTCTTGAAAATTTACGTTGCGTTTCACTAATTTCAATGAACAAATTCACTGAACAGTACTCGAGCCGCGTTGTTACAAAGTCGTTGATGCTAGACGACAGACTGAATTAGATCTCCTAAATTTCTCATAGATTTAGTCAAAAAAGAGAAAGTCTCTTTTTTCGATCATCTATCCTCTTTTAATCGAAAATTTACCGGCGGCTCACTTGAATTTCCAACACTGTAACTTGAAATTAATATTTGTAAATATTACAATCGAAAACACGCTCTTCATTTAAAACTTAATCTAATTACGTATGTTGTTTATTTAAATTCGCTATTTTAAATTCATCGCTCAATATTAATTATCATGATTGTTAAGATCAACTGCTATCTATTGTTAAATAGTTTACTCTACGAGTCTTATACGTAGCCCCGATTTTTGACACGCCACACACCGCTGTTTATATAATGTTATGATTATCATTCGAACACAAAATATCTTGCTACACGTTCAGACTAGTACATTACTAAGTTGCTATGTATGCTTCGCTTACTTGTGAAAAATGCCTCGAGTTCGTTATCTTACATCGCGCTGGCACGTGTCGATTGTAAAATTATTACGCAGACATCAAAAATTTCGCTCAAACACACAATTATTATTAACTAAATAACAACTACTCACTACTGTTGCAACACGTGTATCACTCAGATCGCCATATTGTTTCTGCGTACGTACCCATACATTTACGTAGACCATATGAGTAAATCACGCATGCGCATGCGCGACTTCGGCGTCAGCTGACGTTCCGACACCGACACGGCGAGAGCGACTAGTGACTGCTGCCGAGCAAGTCGGGTTTCTGTACATGTGAATACATACGCACAATACACTTACACCAATACAGACTTTGAACACACTTACGCATTCGACGTTACACGCACGTTTGTAACCGTATAGTAGCATAGTGCAGGATTCGGTCGCAGTTGAGATTTTCGAATACGCGTACTTTTTAGTGTCAATTTAAATCTTCCTCGTATTTATGACAATAGTTAAAAATTATAAATTAAATTATAAATTACAATACAACAAAAATAAAAACGAAAAATAATGGTTATAAACTTAATACATTATGACGAATAAATTATAATAAATAAATATAAATTAATGTTGTATTCCAGCACTTATTCTGCAGTGTAATAATAGATGTTATCAGTAGCAGTTTACAATTATTTGAATTTTTATTGCATATTATAAAATGGGAATAAAGCATTTAGCTCGGAAATATGTTTATCTCTAAGTCTTGGCATAATGTAACCTGTAGAATTGAAATATGCAAAAATATACACTTTTCTCATTAAAAAAGTTGAACTTTTCAGCTTGTCGCGCGACGTCTTTCGCTCGCTCGTGCATTACCTAATCGCAGAAAAAAGTAGACTCTCGTTTTTTTTTTTGTTTTCTGCTCTTTTCTGGCAGTAGTTACACGGCCGTAATAAGCGCATGCATAAACTTCCTATTTTCCAGTCAAGCAATTTTTGTAATTTTCTTTTTCGTTGGTTTGCTTTTTCGTTCTTCTTATTTTGGTGAATTTTCAACGTGTCGTACTGCGCGCGAATACGGCGAGAGCGGTGCAGGCTTGACAGGTGATTTCGTTATAATAATATTATACAGGTTTTTCAAGGGTATTCATCAGATGACGTTGTTTGCATTTAATATTAGTTTTTTTCACGGCAATGCCATTATCGTGATGATTCAAACTGGGCGAGCGTTTCAAACCGGGCGGATTCCACTTGTTTTTGTTTTATTTTCCAACGAGAACAATAAGTTAGAAGTATATAGTTGCATGTTGTTCTTTTGAAACAGAAAACAAAATATAATTACGACAAAAATAGAAAAAAAAGCTAAAGCTGAAAAGAGCAGAATAAAAAAAAACATGCTTTCGCGGTAAAGCGAGTGCATAAATTTGGTAATTTAATAGCCCCGTATGAGGATGAAAAAAAAAGATCCCGAGGGCACTCGACTCACTTTCGTCCAGTACTTTTTACAAAACTAGCTCATTTTTGCCCATCCTCTCTCCGTTTTTTTCTCAATTTCTCTTTTGCCTCGCGGAGAGAGAACGATAGAGAGAGAGAGAGAAAGAGCGAGAAAAACAAGCCATTCTCCTGTATAATGAAACTTAATGACATAAGACCGTATAATACTTTTATACACACGTGTGCATGCGTGTGTGAGCTGCAGCTCGTTCGTAGGCGATTTTGATACGAATTTATGAAGATTGCGCTCGCCCGAGAAAGTCTTCAAATTTTCATAAGTCACCCCGAGAGTATATTAGGCGCTACTCAGTTAGTAATTATAATTTCATTAGAAAATTACCTCTGGCTCCATACACACAGCTGACGAGGATCTTGAACGCTTCGCGTCGTTTATTCCCTCGAGGGAGTCGTCCTTACGTCGAAGGACATCTCACCTCTCTGCGCGAGACTCAATCCATTATTTACTTGAAAAATAAATATTTCCCCGCAGATTGAGTTGCGAGCGAATGCGACTGCATGGTCAATCTTTCTCTCTTTCTTTCTCTCTCTCTCTCTCTCTCTCTCTCTCTCTCTCTCTCTCTCTCGCTATGTAGTGCATAACTCCTCACAATCACGCGGCACTCTCTTTGTCGGGCGTTTTTGCCGGTCCGCGCCGCGCCGTGCGATCGTCGAAGGGCACACTTGCGCTATAGGAGTTTCTCTCTGCCATCTTCTCTCTTTCTCTCTCGTGAGGAAAGGAAGAAAGAAGAATCCGCACGTCTTGCACGTGCACAGATACACGGGGCAGTGTTTGTCGTCGTCGTCGTCGTCCACGAGGGCATTCTCATTAGCATCGTGTATAGGCCGCGGCCTGCAGTCTCGACTCTCTTTCTTTCTTTCTTTCTCTCTCTCTCTCTCTCTTTCCCTCGCGAAATGGCTGTAGGTTGCCGGGCTGCCAACGATGATCGTATATACATCAACTTGGTGAACAAGGCGAATTTTAATTAGTCGAATGAATCAAGTTTAAGGCTGAGTGGATATTTTTATTATTGTTATTTTTTATTTTTTGTTGGAGCCGCAAGTTCATATACGCACGGTATAAACGACGTGAGGATTTCAGCACGATCGCGCGGCTTTGAACAATAATTTATCGCTGCGTTTAATATACGTTATGTACTGGGTGGCTGCTGATTGATGCTTTTTCGGGATGCGATCCGCGAGAGAGAAAGTTTTGAATAATTTTTTCCCGCGAGCCGATCATCATCAAAGAGAAAAAAAAATTATCGCTTTGGCGTTATTGTCTCGCTGAAGTTCATCTATCGGAACTATATATAAATTCCATTAAAAGTCATAGCTTTGTTTGACGCTTGAACTAGTGCCTTTCAAATAATACCCTCCAGGCAGTTTGCGCGAAGGTCGAAAATTCTCTCGCTGAAATTACAGCTGCTAAGGCAGTTTTTAAAGATAAACATTCGGCTAGAGCAGGTTGTGTGTATTCTATACGACGCAACGGACAAAAGATGGGAGTTGAATACAGTGAAAGCATATACGTACGCTACGTTATAGTTATTTTCAAAGCAAAAATAGTGAAAAAAGTAGAGAAAACGACTGGAAGCAATAATAGTGTAGCCTAGCAAAGCTACAATACCAGAAGTTTTTAGAATGTGTGTATGTGTATGCCAAAGGTACGGGATGCGCAAGTCGCGCTTAAGAGTTGCAAAAAAATCGGCTTCCTCCCTCTATTTCTCTTTCGCTCTCTTTTTCTCTCTCTCTCTCTCTCTCTCTCTCTCTCTCTCCCTCACTCGACGATGGCATAAAAAGTACTTGAGGGCTGTATCCGTATAAGTAGCTTCGATGGCTACAGATACACACAGCCGCCGAGCGTCTTCTGGGCGATCTTACAGCTGGGTTGAATTTTTATTCATCCTAATGTCCTCCTGCAAGCGTAAGAGAGATGCTCTTTTTTTTTCTTTGGCTCTCGTCCCTGCCCACGTACTTGTTATTCGAGTAAATAAAAATGAAAAAAAAAAAAAAAGAAGAAGAACGAAGGAAGCCTTCAGTGGTGCTTGAATCCGAAGGCTCAATTAGGTATGCCGCGCGTATGCTGCTGTTGCTGCAGAGCTCATTCGAATAAGTATCTCGTTTTCCTATTATTACGAGAAATTGCGCGACGCTCTTTCGTTGTCGTCGCCTTGGCGCGCGCGAGCTCGTATAACGCTTGAATTTTAAAATATGTTATTTTTCACGTCGTAAACTGCAACTAAGACTGCGACAACGACGCAATACACGATATGAATATTATGCGTAACATCGATCGCGAGTACGACGCAAGTAGTAGTAGTAGCAACCGAAGATTGATCTTCGATGCGTGCACGGATCAACGGGCAATATTTTTAATCTCGCGTAGCAAATCCATCGAAACATTACATTTTCCTCGACTCGCTGTCGACGCGACGCTTTGACAACTTCGCGCACAGGGTTATTTCCCTCGGCGCGACAACGACGATGACGACGACAAGTATGGCGCGCATATACACACTTTAACTGCATAAAATCGCGTCGTCGTCGTCGCTGCAATAATCCTGTAAGAGAGAAGAGAGATCGCTCGGTGATATTTTTCTCGTCCGATATGTGCGCACTTTGTTATTACCGATAAAATCATTCGTAAGTAACCAATAACGCCTCGCCGTTTTCTGTTACATAAATCGATCTTCGATTCTGGACTCGCGTGTGCGTCGCGTCTCGCAGCGCGAAGAAAAATGTCGTTATGCGTGCTACTGGTGCCCCTCTGTCCCGATTACTCGGCACACGCGCTGGAATTCATACTCGCGCAGGAGCGTACGTACTGCAAAAGGCAGGACAGAGAGAGAACGAAAGATAGAGATGCATAATCTGCTTAATTTCTCAATCAGTCGATGAGAAATACTTGGAGGAAAAAAAAGACAATAAATAATTCAAGTTTTCTTCGATTGATTTTGCAGCTCGTTGTCGAAGATAAACGCGCGAGGAATACTCGGTGGTGATTATTCGTACACATATTTATGCGGGTTGAACCTCGGTATAATTACCCGATAAAGCGAGAGACTCTTGCGAAGACTTTACGAGCACTGATAAATATTCGTTCATTTGTCTGGGTTGCACTGGACGCGTGTGCGCATACGCGCCGAATGAGTTCGAGGTCAGCTGGCCACGGAGAGAGATGCCTAATGCATCGCAATGTTCACACAATTCCAATTCCGACTACATCGTTCTGTGTCTAGACTCGCTCGCCGAGAGCATCATCGTCTCAACGTCCTATTGAGCAAGGATCTTTTTTACCATGTACCGTGCGCGACTATACTCGCCAATCCAATCTATGGGGGTTTCTTGTAAAATTGCCTTTTACAGCGGACTTGGCATTGAAAAATGTAATTTTATGTACATAGAAGGCATAACATCGACGATTTTAACTGCCCTGCAAAATATAATAAGAAAATTCTCCCATGCCTATGCGAATAGACAGTCGCTGATCGTTTACAAACTGCCGCCGCTTGTGCTCGGCTCTTGTACCACGGCCGTGTTTTTCTAGCTCTTTACTCTCTCTCTCTCCCAGGGGTTGCCTCTATGAACTACCTCTATTGAAAATTTCGATTGAGAACTTTATGAGAGACCTCCGTAGGCGTTCACCATTTAGCACGATAATTATCTCACATGTTTTACATGCGCAAAAAGTCATGTCAACTTGTCACGCCCGCCAGGGTATATAATTGCGAGCGCGCGCGCGCGCAGTCTTGAATGTCAAGGGAGAGAAAACCTTCCTTCTTTTTTTTCCTTCATCTTTTCCTTTTTAGTACACACATGTGTACTCGTGTGTATCCTTTGAAGGATTTATGTGACTTTCGAATTTTCTTTATAGTGGGACAGGGAAAAAAACGAGTTTTTGCTCGGGTTGAGGGCGAGCATCGAGCTGCACGACTAAGAATGTTATCAAAAAAATATCATTGCTATAAATGGACTCTTTGTTTACGGAATTGTAATATTTTATAATAATTCACAAGATATTCAATAAATCGAATCATATTAACGAAGTTCGTCTTTATTTTGCAGAACGTTCAAAAAAGAAAAATTCAAAATCAAACAAGTCTTCATCGACAAACATCATTAAAAGTGAGTACACTGTACATTTTTTTTCTCAAAGATTCAAAGCAAACATTTTAATTATGCGAGGCATGGCAAAATAACGGAATATATTTTGCATATTTTGTTAAGCTTGTGCATACGAAAAACCTCAAAGCATTTACAAAGAAAAAATGTCTCTGACGCATCAAAATTTGAATACATTTCATATTAAAAATATGTTACTAAAAAAAAAAGGGAAAAAAAATGGCGAGACTGGTAGTTGAGAGAGACGCGAAGCAGCAGCACATACACAAAAAAGAAATAATGGCTCGAAGTAAACAAGTACACGCTGGAGCTTTTTTCATCGGGGCCAGAAGAGTATTATGTAGAAAAAACACGTGTTCAAGAACTGCTCTGCGCAACGACGGAGGAAGACATTAACATATCGATTTGAGAATGTATTTCCCGAAGCGAAAAACGTATTGAACGTCGAAGGTATTCTCGATCTGCATAGTAGTAGAGACGTTCGCGGTCGCAGCATCAGAGTAAAGGAGACATAGACGCACACTCACACATTCCTTACTATATCATCCGCACGGTCTTTTGTTCTCAATTCAAAATCCGTTCATTTTCCAGGCGATTAACCCCCCCGCGACGACGACTACGACATGCCTCGTGATCAAGTACAATGTGCTCGCCTTTTCTTACTTACCGTAGTAGGAAACGGATAATTTTCGAAGATATCGGCTCGAAAAGACTCGTAGAGAACATGAATTACGTAGTAGTAGCACGAAATTGAACGATTTTTTATTTCTGTCAGCCTCTCTTTATAATGTCCTATTGCTCTCGAGCTCGGGTGCATAATTCCGCCTCCAGCTGCTGCTTTTTTTTTGTCGCGCTCGCTTAAATGTGCGGTTACATTCACACCCCGAAGAGCATCGTTGATTTCGAAACGCAACAACGCGTCGGGCCGTGCATATCGACGCGAATTCAACGAAAAAAGTTCACCCAAGTCAGAGAGCAGCAGCATAGCAGCTTCGCGCGCAAACGAGTGACTAGCGACATTCAAGCTCATGTCAGCCTCACATAATAATCGCGCGCTGTATATACATGCATGCAGCGTGCCATGAGCATTTATTGTCGCGCACGTATGTACAGCAGCGCCCCTCGCCCTCTCCCCCCGCCATTGTGCAGATTATAACTCTGGTGCTGCATACACACGAAGGGGTATAATAGCGCCCGCACGCGCGGCTGACTTGTCAGCCTACTGACCCTTTGCGCCGCGCGCGTGCACTCGCGCGGTGATTACATACATAAAAGCTCGCGAGGCTCGACTGTGCTCTGTGCGTGGAATTTCCGCAGATTGCTTGGTAAATAGTCGTGGCACGGCACTCTGGCCGTTTTCGCGAGCGCATACAGCTCAATTCGACCGTAGGCAGCCGACAGCAGCAGCACGCAGCCGCCGCAGCGACAGCTTTTCGTATTATACGCGCGCATGCAGATATCGTGTGTATTATAAAAGCGTTCGCGCGTTATCGAGCGTATAGTCAACTTTTTATTTTTTAGGTGCTATAATATGCAGTCACTGAATGCGAAATTAGAGGAATATTTTCTTCTCGAATATACGTCCATACATGCATCAAGTTGTAATTCAAAGGTATAGAGTGAGCGAGAGAGAGAGAGAAAGAGAAAGGCACATTGAGGTACATTGCGGAGGATTCGCTGGACGAGGCATATACATATAGCGCGCCTCTGTTAAAGGATCGAGCTCGCGCGCGCGCAAGCACTTAAGAATAAATTGTACATCGTTTGCGGATGCCGCGCGCGGCCGTACGTACTGCTCATAGAGAGCAAGAGAGAGAGAGAGAGAGAGAGAGAGAGACCTATGGCTTATATACTATACTACTATATATACATGAATTAACCCATTGACCAGATATACTCTCTCGACTGCGAGTCTGGACTATACTGCACACTCTGTATATATCTGTGTGTGTGTGTGTGTGTGTGTGTGTGTGTGTGTATGTGCCTTAATAGTCTCCTGGCTGGAAGATCCAATTTCGGGCAAGCCGAGTAGTATGGTAACAATTCAAATCCCTTTTAAAGTGTGTTACCGCGCTTGGTGTATTGCAATAACTGCTGCACGTCAAACTCGCGTTCGTTTAAAGGCGTGCACTTTTATGCATAAGTATCCTAATTATAAATCCGTTGCTGAAGGCAAAAATCATCTTAATTCATATAAAATTTTTATTAAAAAAACGAGATTGGAAATATGAAGTTTTTTTTTTCAAAATCTTTAATACAGACGATACTTCACAATGAGTCTATATACAAATCTGCAGCCGATAAATAGACAAAATTTTAAAATAGTAGAGAGAAAAATTCAATAAACTTTGAAACAAACTTTTTAGCAACAATTCACGGTAATTGATTTCACGTTGAATAAACTGATGGAAAGTCAAGCCCGGAACTTTGATTTCTGCGAGGCATTGTGTTTACGCACGGTTATATTCAGTTTAATGAATGCACAAAATGTGCATTCAATTCACTTATGACAGCTCATAAACGTAATTGATATTTGGACAATGAGAATAATAATTTCACATTTCAAACGGATTGAAACTCTCGTCTTCGAGAGATGGTTTGAATATACTCACTTTTTCTGACTCATATACATTAATTTAATATTGATATAACTGTTATTTAAAAGTTTGAAATCCTAACAAGATGCATTTTAATATTTCAAACAAGGTTTTTCAGCAAGTGACTAATTTGTTTCATCGTTTGAATGCAGATAAAATATGAAGCTCGTTTGTAGTCTTATTTTACATGTAAATATCGGTTTAAAAGTGTTGAATTATTTTCAAATTACTATATTGATCCTTTCAAACGATTCAGTACATCAAGGAGGGACTCGATAACACACAAAAAAGCATATGAAAGACTACTTGTAACAGCGACCTTCCAGCGCGAGAGAGGACAGAGAGAAAAGAGAGAGCACCTGTGCCCGTACAACGATCGACTGCGAATGCGTCCAGTCACGACGATTGGCCGATTGCATTCTCCACTTGTCCATGAGCCATTTTACAGTTATGTATAGGTACGCTCGAGCTTCCGCGCGCGCTCCTTATAATAACCTGCCTCTTCGACTTTTAGTAATTAATACGTAGTAAGTATTTCGCCGTATTAGACGGGATGGCTGGGATGAATTTTGTGAGACAACGAGACTTTCAACGCGAGATTGGACAGCTTTTGAGAAAATAGTATAATTTAAGCAAATGAACGAATTCAATTTTATTTTTTTTCTATGTATTTATTTGAATTATAAGCATGATGGACCAAACTTAGCCACAGCATAAAAGAATCTTTTTTACACGTCGCCACAGCGACCTTTGACCTTTCGCCGCCAAGCAAATATTATATAAATCTTCGTTCGTCTGATTCGCATTGAACTTATCACAGCACTCTATGGATAGACGATGGCGCGTCAACTTCATCAAAGAATCCAGTGCGCATCGCCGGAAAAATCCTCTCGACATCGTCTCACATATATGCAAAGCACAAGCCTCTCTAGGTCCTTCGGGGAGGAACTGAAATTCACGCGATTGCGCGAGCTCGAAGTAGTCCGCGTATGTGAGTTGCGTCTCAGCCTGTTCCGGGCGTAAGATCAAGTCGTAGAGCGTCAGTCTGCCAGGAATCACCTCGATCTTTTGCGCTAGCAACGTGAAGATCCCGTTTCCATGCCAATGTGTTTCAGGATCCGCCGACTTCTCGAACAACTCGTACTTGGCGAACAATTTCATGATGGTCATGGCATTGCTTTGGTCCAGTTTGCGTCCTTCTTTTTCAAGACGTTCGACAATAGCCAGAGCACCACACGCCAGTCTCAATTTTAAATTAATCTCAAAGCTCAAGTTATCTTTGGGCTTGAATCTCTTGTCGAAGTCACTCTCGGTAGGAAAAACAAAGCTCGACAGATTAGCTCCGCGACTCAAGAGTGCATCGAACGCGTGTGGCAAAAAATTCACCACGGCCCATTGAAGCGGCGTCTGACCGAACTTGTCCCGCGCGTTGACTCGCACCGGCTTCTTCATTTCGGCGCTTATCTCGAATAACAACTTCAGCAAGTCGAGATCGAAGTCTCTACTCTCCTTTGCATTGACCCTGCCGAAACCCTGCATCATATGGCCCTCGCTATCGAAGGGTCTCTTGAAAATAATTTGCATTGGAGTCAATCCTTCCCCATTAGCTAAATTGGGATCGGCTCCTCTTCTCAGTAACAATTCGGCGGCTTTTCTGTTGCCGTAACGCAGCGCCACGTGCAATGGTGTGTTACCCGACTTGTTCCGGGCGTCACTTTTTACCGTTTGATGTCTCTCGTCGTTAATCCCGAAGAATAGCTCCACCAAGTAATCACCGAACATCATTCCCTCGCCTCTCTTGCAAATAATATGCAAAGGAGTCAGTCCTTTTCCATTGGCCAAATTCGGGTTGGCGCCCCTTCTCAACAGAAATTCGACGATCTCCTTGACTTTGGGGTTCGCGGTATTCAATGCCACGTGCAACGGTGTGTTGCCCAACTTGTCCTGGGCGTCGATATGCACGGTGTGCTGGAAAAAGTCGTTCATCTCGAAGAACTCTCTCATGATGTTTCCGGATATCTTGACAATTACGTGTAACGGGGTGAATCCCTCCTTATTGGCCAAATTCGGATTAGCCCCGTTTTCCAGCAGCAATCTCAATATGGCATTGCCAAACTCTGCGTAGAGAGTCAGAGCCAAGTGCAACGGCGAGTCGCCGGTTTTTTTCACCGGACAGTTGGGATCCTGGCCCAACTCGAGGAAAGACTTCACGGCGTCGTAACAGCCAAACTGGCAGGCCGCATGAAAATGCGAGTAGCCATCTTCGTCGGTGTAATTTACATTATCGTAAATTCTTAAAAGCCAATCGATGTGCATAAGGGCGCTGCGTTTAACCGCAAGATGCACTGGTGTGGTGCGATGCAACGATGGCTTGCCGTCTGTATCGAGTTGGAACCCTTCCTTGTA